GGTGTGGTGAGAACACTTAAGATCTACTCTTTTAGCAGTTTTCAAGTATTTAATACAGTGTTATTAGCTATAGTCACCATGCTGTATATTAGATCCCTAGAACTTACTCATCTTACAACTGAAAGTTTATACCCTTTGAACAAACTCTCTTCATACTCCTTTGAAGTCTGCATTATTCCACTACAAGAATGGACACATATAGAGATGACTTTTTTAATCAAATTCTAATCTCAGAAAAGTTAATATGGAAGCAGCAGCTGTACATCTTCAAAATTGATGCTAATGTCATTCCTGTGATGAAATTAGAAAAAAGTCATCCTATGAAATATTCTCACCTAAAAAAGTAATTAATAAATGAATTCAACAAATATTTATTGATTGTTTTCTATGGTCTGGGCAGTTATTTTAAAAAAGCAGTGGATATACTCGAAGTCCTTGTTCTCAAGGAGCTTGTTCTCAGGGCAAAGTCTCTTTTCAGATGGAGATACAAGTAAATAAGTAAGACAGTATCAGGTAGTGACCAGTGTTAAGGAAACATTGAAACTATGTATTGTAATAGAGAGATTCCCTTGGCTGAGAAGCTTTAACAGCCAAGCTCAAAAAAAAAAGCTACCACTGTATACAGTCTTAAGAATGACTAGAATATGCTATTACTTAGGAGAAAGAGAAAAAAAAAACCTAAACTGCATCATTTTTGTTGTTTCTTTGGTTTATTTTTAATTTATATGTTCTTTTTTCACTTTTTATTTTTTTTTAATTACAGTTGACATTCAATGTTATATTCATTTCAGGTGCACAACACAGTGGTTAGACATTTTTATAACTACAAAGTGATCCCAGCAAAAAGTTTAGTACCCACCTGGCACCATACATAGTTTTTACAATATTATTAATTGTGTTCCCTATGCTGTACTTTACATCCCCTTGATTATTTTGTAACTGCCAATTTGTGCTTCTTAATCTCTTCTTTACCTCTTTCACCCAGTCTCCCAACCCCCCACCCCCAATCTTGCAATCATCAGTTTGTTCTCTGTATCTATGAGTCTGTTTATATTTTATATGTTCATTTATTTTATTTTATTTTTTTAGATTCCATATATAAATGAAATAATAAGGTATTTGTCTTTCTCCATCTGACTTATTTTACTTAGCATAATACCCTCTAGCTCTTTTCATGTCGTTGCAAGTACTATGGTAAAATTTCATTGTTTGTGTTATTAGGTGTTATCAGAGGCCTTCAGTTCAACAGAGAACCAAGTATAAGATTTTGTCATAATGTTTCTACTACTATCCTGGGAAAAGAATACTGTGTTCCAGATTATGTCAGATATTTTCCTCTACTGGCTATTTATATATGCATCAGGGTCCTTTGGTGAAGCTTTTGTTAAGGTCATCTAATCTGTTTTCCTTGCACTAACTCCATGCTTACCTAGCAGCCTTTTTATTTTGAATTCTTATTTCTTGCCTAGATTTGCCTTTTAGACGGTAATACACAGCGACAAACACTATTACAAATGATATATCAATTTCTATTGCAAAGTGTCTTTTTTATGATTAGTAAAATCACAGTCTGGCTTATACCTAAGTCTTTGGAAAGTTTGGGTAGTGTGAATTAAATCTTCAGCGACTGATCATCTCAGGCTGTCCTACAATGCTGGAATCCAAGCCCTAGACTATGAGTGACCCTTTTTCCTACTACAGCCATTCTAATAGCCAAATGGTGTCTCTACCCCTTTCAAGAATTAAAAAATAGCTAATGCTATGGTGGTAATCATTTTACAATATGTAAGTATATCAAATCAACACATCGTATACCTTAAACTTACACAATGTTATGTGTCAATTATATCTCAATAAAGCTGGGGAGGAATTAAAAAGTTAAACAGAGACTACATACACCTTAACCCCTCCTTCTCTTTATAAAATGTCTAAATAATGAAAGAACTTTTATTATAAAAAGATGCATATCCCCCATCATAGTTTAAAGGAAGACTGGCATTCTTTATAGTAATAACAGAATTTGACTATCATAATTTAGTGAGTGGCCTTAAAAATGTTGAAATGCTGACAAGTAACTGTTTTTTAAAATACTCAGTATCACTTCCATTAGTAGCATCCTTTGGTGAAATACTCTTAAATCAATTTACAGGTTAGTGGAGGGAACATGCTATATAGCTTACTCTGGTAAATATGTTGGGAAGCCCTGCCATATCAAGATTCTTTTTTGGCTAAGAAAGATGAATAATAACATCTGCCCTTATATTTTCAGGCCTGGAAAATGGCATAAAAACTCTGAAAATTCACCTCTTCATGAAAAAAAATTTAAAAGCTGGCAAGAAAATAATGTAAGAATTTACTTTTTCAGAACTGGAAACTAACCAGAGTATTGCAGCAACCCAGAGAACATTCAAGAAAAACAGTTGAATCTCAGTAAGACCTACAAACTTTGTGGCATATTAACTTACCTCAGTCTCATTCCTTGCTCCCTGCAATTGTCTTTGAAAATAACAGCCTACATTCTCGGTAGTGGAGGGTGCAGAACAGAGCTGGAGCCTTTTCAAAGCCTTATTTTGAAAGAAATATAATTATTTGACCTGTCTGGTGGTTCCCTAGAAGACTCCAATCAAAGGCTTATCTTTATTTGACCTGACTAAAGCTCACCTAGTGCTAACAGCCTCTCTGTGGAGTCATTTGTCAAAAACATTTACTGGCAAATATTTTAATCTCAGCTGCTTGAGGTGATGAATAACAGTTGGGACAAACAGTAGGCTAACCAAAAAGCTTAAAATGAAAAGCTGAGAAACAAGATGTCAGTTATGGCTTTGAAAATCTCCAGCATGTTCCTGGGAACCTAGAAAGCCACGTACGTCTGTAAGGCCAAAAAAAGGACCCGATATGGCCCTAAATTTTCGCTTCTAGCTGACTTTCAGGCTCTGTACAAGGAAGAAGTTAAAACTAAGGCTGAGTCTAAACTGCCTGTGTGGGTGTGGAAGGTGTATCTCAACCTGTAATTTGACAACAGTGGCACAAAGAAGGGAGCAGGGCACAGATCTATATAGAAAAGTTTCTTTATACTATTGAAATCAAGTTGATATTACTGCAAACTAGACTGTTATAAATTAAGATGTTAATTGTAATTCCCAGTGCACCACTAGGAAAATAACAAAAAATATGGTAAAAGAAATGATAAGAAATTAAAATATTACACAAGAATATATCTATTTAACACAAAAGAAGGCAGTAATGGAGGAAATGAGGAACAAATTAACATAATACATATAGAAAATAAATAGCAAAATGGCAGATGTAAATCCTGCCTTCTTCTTAATTACATCCAGGATCACGTCCTCATCTCAAAATCTTTAATTTAGTCATATTTGCAAAGACCCATTTACCAAATAAGGCAACATTTACAGATTCCAGGGAATAGGACAAGCTTCAATACATTTCAAAGGATTAAAATCATACAAAGCATGTACCCCAACCACAGGAGAAAGAAATTAAAAATAACAAAAAGAAATTGGGGGAATTTACTAATATGTGTAAATTTAACTGCACTCCTAAATAGGGAATGAGTAAAGAAATTATAAAATACTTTGAGTTGAATGAAAAACAACAGAACTTAGGCAGCAAAGTTGTGCCCAATGTAGACACAAAAATTCTCCCTCAAAATGTAGCAAACTAAAACCAGCCACATATAAAAGGGATTACACACCAGAACCAACTAGAATTTATTCCAGGAATGCAAAGTTGGTTCAACATACAAAATCAGTGACTATAATACACCATTTTAATAGAATAAAAGTCAAAATCCACATGATCGTATCAATAGATGCAGAGAAAGCATTTGGCAAAATTTGACACTTTCATGATGAAATCATTCACAAATTAAGAATGGAAGGTAACTTCAACCTGATAAAGGACATCTACCAAAAAAAATCACAGTTAACATCTTATAGAATAGGCACAGATAGCTAAAATTATATTTAAAAAGGAACACTCCCCAATTATGAAACTACAATAATCAAGACATTCTGCTGCTGGCATAAAGGATAGACATATAGATCAATAATATAAAACTGAGAGTCCAGAAATAAACTCTCACATATATGTCAGTTGATATTCCAAGACCATTCAATGGGGTAAAGAATAGTTTTTTTTTTTTCAATAAATGGTGCTGGGATGACTGGATATCTACACATAAGAGAATGAAGTTGGACCCTTACCTCATGTTGTGTATAAAAATTAACTCAGAATGGATGGAATACCTAAAGGTAAGACCTAAATTATAAAAATCTTAGAAGAAAACATAGGTGTAAATATTTATTAGCTTGGATTAGGCAACGGTTTTTTAGATATGATAACAAAAGCAAAGCAGAAAAAAAGAAAGGAAAAATTGGACTTCATTAAAATGAAAAATTTTGTATGTCAAAGTACATTATCAAAAAAATGAAAAGACGATCCATGGAATGAGATATTTGAAGATCATATATGTGATAAGAACCTACTATCTTGAATGTATAAAGCATTCTTACAACTCAATAATAAAAATACAAATAACTCAATTTAAAAAGACAATGGATCTGAATAGAAATTTCTTCAAAGAAGATATATAAATAAGCACATGAAAAGATTCTCAACATTAGTTATTAAAATAATGCAAATCCAAACCATAATAATATATCATTTCACGCCTACTAGGATGCTATAATAATATATAAAGAAATGCAAAATAATAGATGTTGGTGAGGATGTGGAGAAATTGGAACCCTTGTACCTTGCTGATGAAAACATAAATGGTGCTGCCACTAAGGAAAACGGTTTGGTAGTTCCTCAAAAAGTTAAACATTGAATTAAAATATTACACAGCAATTTTATGAGTATATTCAAAAGATTTAAAAACAGAAACCTAAACACATATACATGTTTGTTCATAGCTTCTTCCAAAACCGACAAAAGGCCTCAGGGAAATAGTAGCCCACAGATGTTGGGTTCATCTCTTTGGATTTCTGTCTTCTCCCAAATCTTGGTCTTATAGTCCTTTACTACCTTATCTGCACTCTGATGCTTCAAGCAGCATTTCCCCTTGTTTTCCTCAGGGGAAGGTTTGATCTGAATTTTGTGGTGTAAAAGTAGAAGTCACTTGATTTCATTTTCAAATTGGATGGAATTCCATTCCCTCTTTCTTAAAGATTTCTTTTCTCTTGCCTTCCTGGTTTTCCTCCTACCTCTCTTTGATTGTTCCTTGGTTTCTTTTGAGTGCTTCTCTGCCCCCTCCTACTCTATTAATATTGATGATTATAACCTGGATACTCTTCTTTCTAGACATAGCTATCTTGTCTAATTATGGAGTTTTAAATATTATCCATACATCGATAACTAGATTTTTCTAGTTTAATCTTCAGCCAACCAGCCTGAAATGCGCTTTTCTCCCAAAGTGCACTTCTTGGAATTGCTTAAAAATGACATGACTGTTAGTGTATCTGTGCATACTATCCATCCTTTCTATTCTTCTGATTGGAATACTCTTACCTGCCTTGTCCACCTGGAAAATTCCTATCAGTTCTTTAAGATTCAGTGCAAGTATCCATTCCATGAAGTATTTTCTGATTCCTTAGGTAGAAATATGTGCCTCTTCTCTGTGTTCCTATTGTATCCCAACAATAATTAATAATAATAATGTTATGTATGTTAATTTGTAAACTTGTAATGGTTTAAAAGTTATATATTGCACTATTTTTATTAAACTATGAGCACTGTTCAAAGTGCTTTCCCTATATTCTTATTTAATCCTCATAACAATCCTGAATTTGATATTATTATCATATTTTATAGATGAGGAAATTGAGGTGAAGTAACTTCCCAAGATTATGCAGCTAATAAATTGCAGAGCTGGGATTTTAATTTAGGCATCTAACATCAGTCTGTAACCTTTACCACTACACTTTGTCAATGACATCATATTAATCCTAATATCTTTTCTGTCATCTGTTGAGAGCTAAGTGTTGTGCCAAGCATTGTTTAACCCATTTTCCATTTGCCCTGAGAATACTCACGGGGGGCGCTTGCAGCTGCAGCGTTTACCCCAAGATAACTCAGGGATTACAGTCCTAACCTTACCCCCCAAATTTTGCCACAAAATATCTTATTATTTTCAAATCACTGTATTATATCAATGCGATAGTCTTTGGAAACAAATGACATCATTCTACTTCTAGCATTCTGTTTTTAGTAGTGGTTTTTCCATTTACAAAATATAATAATTCTCGATTGCTGAAAATGTCAAATCCTAGCATTCCTGTGCATGATGTTAACATCGTTCTGTTAGCCGAAGATTCATTTGATGAATCTGATTCTGTTACATTAAGATTGGATACAAATTCTGTTTAGAAATAACGTCAAGAACAGTTTTTATATTTTATTTTCGCATTGAAAACCAGTCAGATTTGTTTCAGCCTCAAAGAGCATGTTTATGTAAAATTTATGCTGGCAGCGAGCTGAATTTTTTTTTTTTTCTAAACAGGAAATGGGTTAAGAGCACAATCTCATTAAATAACTCTAAAGGTAGGTCGTATTCTTTTCCTTATTCAGGAAATTGATACCCAAATGGTTAAGTATCTTCTTCCTCACATCCATTGTGTTAGATTTCAATTTTCCACTCTTCCCTACATCCATACCCTTTGTCATATGGTTTTGTAATTCTCACCAAGAGGTAAAGTCTATTTCCCAACTTTTAGGTCCAGGTTGGCCTTGTAACTTGCTTTGATCGATAGAATGCAGCAAAAGTGATGTTTCAATTCCAAGCCTGGGCCTCCAGAGCCCTTGTGCACTATTCTCTCTCTCTCTAGGAATGCTGTTACTGCTATGAAAACAAGTCCAGGTTAACATGCTGCTGCTGAGAGACCATGCAGAACAGAGACAAGTCATTTCAGATGCGGTCATCCTAGACCAGCCAATTGTAGATTTGTGAAAAATGATTGCCGTTGTTTTAAACCACTACATCTTGGGGTAGTTTGTTATGCAATAATATGGTAGCAATACATTAAATTCATTTAGCCAGTAAGTGGCAACATCACACATACATGCACACATGAAGATATGACTCACGTTGTCTTACCCAGCTTGGTAATAGGAAACTAAGCAATTAATTTAACCCTATTTATGGCTTGCCTCTTCCCATTAAGTATCCAGAGTTCTGTAAGAAACTACAGCCCGGCTAAATCCCAGAAAGTGCAGATGGTGGTGGATCAGCATTGGAAGTTGAGTAAAGGCTGGTCTTGGTCTTTCCAGAGCAGTCAACTGAATGAAGATCCCCACTGGAGTCTTATGTGGTAGACACCATGGTCTTCAGAGGGCAAGAGGCTCTGTCAGTGCTAATATTTGCCTTGGCCAGAAATACAGTGACAGAGGCCAAAGCTTCTCTGCTGCACCTATCACTGCTAGAAGGTGCTCCTTTCTCCACTGTTCAAGGAAAAGTAAAATTTCTCATTCTTTGATTCATTCAACAAATAAAGCATCCAATACGTCCTACACACTGTTCTAGATGCTGAGGATGCAGAAGTGAATAAAATCAAGTCCCTTCTCCCCTATTCAGCTTATCTTTTAGTGGAGGGGACAAACAATATGTGCAGAGGTATACAATTCCTAATGCTATGTGGCAAAATAAAGTGGGATTAAGGTAAGAGAGGGACAGGGAGTCCAAACGGATTAGGTCAGGAAAGATCTAAGATGACGTTTGAGCAGAGACCTGCTTTGAGTGAGAAAAATGTCGGTATTGGAATAGTGATCCAGTGTGGGGACAGTTTCTCAGGCAGCACTGTATTTGGTCCTTCAGAAGTACAGCTAACAACTAAGTCAGAGCAGACTGATCAAGGGAGAGAGCTATGCAGAAGGGAGAGAGCTATGCAGAAGCGAGTGAGCAACAGTAAGGCCTAGATTTATTCTGTATGTCACCAATAGTCATAACCACTGTACACCAGTACACAGTAATACTCATGAAGTGTGTTATGAGGGAAAAAACCCTCAATTTTTATAATTAAAGGAAAACTGTACCATCATGGCTACACATGAATTCTTTGTGGAACTATATGATTCCTGGCTGACCTAATATATCAAAATCTCTGAATATAAAGCTCCCAAATCAGTTTTTTATAATGTATCACTGTACAGTATACACAAAGAAAATATGTGAAAAAAATATACCGAACTACAATATGTGCCTCAGCCACAATATTTTAGTTCTGAGTAGAAATGGCTTAGAGAACTTTTAAATAATTTTAATATCAGCCCTTTTAAGGACAATTCTCTTTTGTAAAACTGCTACCAAAGACATCCGTTTTGCAAAAGTTCTAATAAAAAGATCAATATGATACTGAATCGCAAACCAGAGTGCATGCAATACTTGGGATGAATGAGTACCTAGTCTCGTAAGAGCTTAGTATCAAGTATTTTGGTCACCCTATTATACTGGGGTGCTTCTGTCACAGTAGGGAATGTATAACTTATGGCATTTTCATTATTGTTGCAGCAGCTGGAAAGTTCTAATCTATACTAAGCACTCTATTGACACGTGCTTAGGTATCAAACTATTTAAATTCCTTTTTGGTTTAGACAAGTTAATTAACAAATGAATAGGTAAACTGGATTTCAAAGCTATCAACAGGTACTGCCTTATGCAGAATTACCCAAACATTTAAAGAAAAGGATATACTAGAATGCCAACTTAGTACAATTTAAAGAGAAAAAAATTTTATTGCAATATAAAATGCACTTATAAAATGTCCACAGAAGGCATGTAATTCTTCACTGCTATATAAATTTGAGAATACTTTATTCACCTTCTATTGTTATGATGATGCTACCTAAAACATATTGTAAACGATGAGTTATACTCTATAACAAATGCATCACTGATTTTCAACAATCATTGGTTTAATAATAATTAAAGACTATAATCACATCTATATTCTGGAATGTCCATTTTCATGTAGTGTAGTCGAATTTAGAGTATAATTGCACATAGATAGTACAGAAAAACATTCACTATAAAATTATTTTATACCTTCATGACAGGTTAACATTCTTCCTGACTAAAAATAACAAACAGCTTCAGCTATGGTCTGCAACACAACTCCCAGATTCTCAATGCAGTAATTTGTGTGTATGCATGTCTACGTGTGCACCAACTTAAAGTATATCTTTAGTAAACAAGTGCAACATCACTGTTGATTATTTTGCATTTTTAAATATTATAGTCTGATTATTTGTAAACAAACAAAACCCCACACAAATACTCTTAATTCTAGGAAAAAAAATCTGTCAACCCATAATTATTCAAATATGCTCTGCTTAAACACACATTGAATTTCTGAAAGGTGCATATATTACCTTAGATAATAAGGTGTAAAAATGAATGTTTCATATTTTATACTATGAAATGTACATTTCTGATTATTTGTTTTATGCAGCATAAAGTTTAGATCAAAAAATTCTAAATCCAAGATCCCCAAAGTTCATTTAGAAAACACCTCCCAGTTCTGGCTCTTGCAGCAGGATTAACAGATTAAACATGAAGTGTTCTAGCTCTCTCTATTTCAAGTATCAAAGAAAAGTGAGGCTCAAAATCTGTCGGCTGTAGCTGAAAATGCAAAGTTTTAGAAAACAAGTTAAATGTGTTTTGAAGTAAGATATAAATTGAAACAAGATTCTTAAGTGTTTATCTGTGTTAGGCTGATAAGTACTAAGACTTTAAAACAATTTTGTTAAATCTATTTGTTCAAAAGAGATAAAGAACACAGTCTGCCTATAAATATGTGGTTTTGTAGAGAAGCCAATGTTTAAAATTTTAGTTTTGTTTGCTTTTGAATATTAATATACAACTGAACATAAATATTTGGCCTCACTACTTATAATGGAATAACTTTTGAAATAGAAATTTTTTAAAACACTAGAAAGAGAATTGACTAAGGCTGTTTAAATGTGTCTTTCAATGTCATCAGAAATCCTGCAGGACAGAAAGTATCTTGTACCCTTAAGGTTTCAGAATGAGCTGATCCTCTGAAATTTTAATGCCATTTAAAAAACCAAAAAGTCAAATGGAAGACTGCTGCCATAAAGCACTGTCTTTAAAAGTTGTAGACAAGATCCCACAATCTGAGAGTTAGCAGTGCTCCTCAGTGTAAGCAACTTTCCACTGCTTCTTAGGCACACTAAATTTCAGCTTAAAAAATAATCTAACTTGGTCCTTAACATATTAAGTAGTATGATTATTTCAAGGTCTTCCTCTCTCCCTTAAAGAAAAAAATTTGATGGCTCACTAAAGAATAATAAGAAGTATATTTTACTTTTAGACATTAGACTTCCTGGAATTGGCCTGACTGTATAAAACTTTAAGAATTATGTGAAAGTGTGCAATCATCACTCTATGAAAAGTGACAAAATTAAACATCACTATGTTGAATCCTTTTCTAGCTTTAACTCAAAAATTGAAATCATGAGACTTCCATAATATTAATTTTAAAAACACACCAAAGTGAAAAGTGCTATTTTTCAAAAAGTACAATTTTTTCCATACTATTTATCAACATGGAATGATTTCAGTTCTCCTGTACTAAAAGCTGGACTTTTAAAAAACTAGTATTATAATAGTTAATATATTAATCAGTAGTGGCTTCAGTTTCAGCTGGACCCCTAATTAGTCTTCGAATTCCTCTTTTTCCAGCAGGACCTTTTGGTTTTGCAAAACTCTGCTTATGTGCATGCTGCTTGGGGTGTACTTCTTCATAAAGGAAGTCTGCAGTCAACTCATCCCCATTGTCTATCTCGATCTGTAAGAGGTGAAATTAGTAAAGTGTAATGCAATATGAAAAAGTATAACATTCAAAACCTAATAAAAGCAATGAGCCAATTTTCAAGTGTGAATGCTCACAAATACATAATACCCATCTCAGCAAGAGACAATCAAAGACCATATGTAAACAGTTTTACTTTCATCTTTTTGAGGGCTGTAACAGGGCTAAATGAATTACTTGAATATATAATCAGCTTTAATAATTTCTTTTTGGTTCCCTCTTTTTTAACTAATGTTTAAAAGTAGGTGCCACCACTATATTCTCTAGTTTTTCTGCGTTGATACACTATATTCAAGAAACACTACTCATGGCCTCCTCATTACCTGGGTCACTTAAAATCCTTCTAAAATAGGGTTGGCAAACTTTGGCCTGCAGGCCAAATCTAGCCCAAGTTGAGTGCGGTTTATATTTTTAAAGCGTTGTAAAAATAAGACAAAATAATAAAACAAAGGAGAGCATGTGACAGATAATATTTGGACTGGCAAAGCCTAAAATGTTTACTCTGTGGTTCTCTTGTAGAAAAAGTCGGCCAGCTCCTCCTATAGGAAGTGATTCTTAAGAACTTAAAAAAAGTGTGAAGGGTTCTATACCTAAAACACTGGGAGTTTGTAAGGACCTGTGTTTTAGGGGTTGAAGGGCTTAAGAATAAATCATATATTTACCTGTGTCTCACCTGCATTTAACTAAATTTAAAAAAACTGGTAGCTTAGCTCCCAAATTGCAAATGTTCATGTGCATTTCCTCCTTTCTCAACAACCAGAAATATTCTCAACCATCCTATAATTCAGTGATAAATGAAGACTATAATTCCTTATTAATAACGAGTCTTGAGATAATCACAAATGTGTAGCTCTAGCAGCACTGTGCAACAGAACTTTCTATAACATGGAAATGTTCTCTAAATCCTGCACTGTCAAATATAGTAGCCATTAGCCACATGTGGCTTATGAGCACTTGAAATGTGGCTAGTGTAATTAAGAAACAATTTTAAATTTTAATTTATATTTAAATTTAAATAGCCACAGGTCTATAGAGTACAGGTCTATGGAGAGACTGAGGTCATGAAAGGTCATCCCAGGCAGAGGGGAAGAGAGCCTAAGGATTTATATCAAGAAAAAAAAACAAACACTTTCCTTTATAAATCACAATACATCATGAACTAGATGGAAAAGACAATAAAAATCTAGCAAAAACTGAAAAATTTTAAATAAGTAGGTAAGTATCTCACTGATACATTAATATAAATGAGATAAAATAATTTAGATAAATAAATAGGTACAAAATTACCTTTCTAATAACATCCATTTGTAGTTGTCTTTCTACAATTTCTAGCAGAGGGCTCTTGCAGCTAGAATACAGCATCCGTTCTCTTATACTGCATGTGTATCCAGGCATTGAATAAATAAAAACTGAAAATTAAAAAAAAATAATAAATACAATTAGCAGCATATCAATTAAAGCAAATTCTAAACCTCATAAACTACAACTAAACCTTTTGGGCAAAAATAAGAATACAGTGCTGAAGTATCAATAAGCAAACTGAAAGTAACATGTTATAAACATGTCATATACCTATAGACTCCAAATAGTCTCCTTCATGCGAATGTTTATACAGAAAGAAATGGTAACGTGCTGAATCCTTGGGAATCCTCTTTGGCAAATCCTTTAGTTCTGTATTTGCTGTACTGGCCAAAATTATAATTTCATTCTTTATGTCTATTTCCTGTCAATAAGAAACAAAATACACTCATTAAAACAGATTAAAAAAAATTTTAATTTATAATTAAAATACTAGGAGACAGGAAACTTATACAGGTTTGACTTTTTTATAATGAACATAATACATTGTGTTTTAAAAATAAGAACAAAAAATACTCAAGAAGCAAATTTTAAAAGTTGAAAATCTATTAAAAATAGATCTTCTATAAGCCACAAGTTATCAAAAAAGCAGCCATTTCATAATAATCATCATGTCTCTTACCAATTGCACATAGTTGAGCTGTTTGTTATTCAATTTTTCCAAAGCCTGAAAAGCTTCTCGAGAAATAGGAAACGCTACTCCTTGTAGTGTTTGATGCTTAGTGTCCACACTCACGTCAGTTTGTACCTAAGTATGACAGATTTAATATACTGATGAAGTTTTATCATTTAGTAGTGTCATATGGCAAAGATAACAAAACCCAATCTCCTTTACAAAGTGTCATTCCATCTTTGCCCATTTTAATGTAATTAAAATGAACACTTTAAACACTATGAACTTAAAAAGCAAACAATTTTTCACATTTGTTAATGTTCTGCTAGCACTTGGTCAACATGCAGAGTGCATGACACATCTTTATGAAAATGTTGGGAGTGAACGTTTGAGTGTTAGTGGGGTTTTAGGGATTTTTTGTTTATGTTGGTGCAATTGCAGTGAACTACATAAGTTCTTTGAAGTGTCTTCAGATTACACTTTTAATTACAAAATTATACTTGATAAAATTTATGAAGAGTGTAATATAGATACAATATATACAGAACTTAACTTTGTTCTGTTAAACATAAAATGTAACACAAACACCATGCACTGAATTGAAAGGGGTACAAACAGTATAACGAAGACACAACACAACTTAACAAATTATACAACTGCAGAAGTTCCAGACTTAGAGCTTTCATTATCAAGAACATGGATATTTCATGTATTGGAAGAAGATAGCACTTTAAGAAAGCTTTCAATGCATATGTTTAAGACTTTTATATTCAATAAATGATAGCTAGTATAGGGTCTCATTTTCAGTGTTGCAACAGAAAATCAAAAAGAAATTTTACTGTAAAAAAAAAATGGAGGTTCTACAGCATAAATGATATTGGATAATGAAAACATCATAGAACATATGCAAATGCATACCCCAATACGATCCTCTGGGTTCTGATTGCAAGGAATAAAACAAACTATCAAACTTGTAAAAAAAAATCACATAAAAATCCTTACTCAAATAATTTGAGTTAAAATTATATAAAGATAGATCCTTGCTATCAGGTTAATATTAAATAATATTCAATCACTTTCCAGACTGATTCCTGTTACTCAGACTAGTGAATAGTGGTTTCTGCTACTTGTTCTTTTCTGTAAATCCCAGTACAAACATAGCAGCTTTTCTAACTTGTAATTAGAGAGGCTGCAATAAACACAATCAAAAATGATAAACTATAATATGAATAAAAATTAACTCTAATATGCTAAACAAGCACTCAATCATTTCCCATATATATGCTCATACTCATCCAAGTAGTTTTCACAGAAATTTACAGAACTTCTAAAAATCCTAAACATCTGATAGCATTTATATCTTATTCTCTTTAGGCGTCACTATTTTTTGAAATAATAAAACAAACCTGCTTCAGGCAAACTTTGCACTAAAATGAGTAACACACACTTTTTCCATTTATTTATATACAAAGTACAGTTACTCTTCTGTCACATACATTATAAAGACAGAAGAAAACTATAAAATTGACGTGAAGTTTAATAATCACTTTGAACTTTCTTTTCCTGGAAACACATTGAGCATAGTTCTGTCTCTAAACTAAACAGAATGAATGTATTGATTTTCTAGTTATCCCTACATCTATTATTTTAAAATGTGGTATTTTCAAACATTTAAAATCTTGTCATGGTTTCAAAATGATAATTTACCTCATTAATTTTAATCTGTCGTAATTCTTCCTCAGCTGCAGTCAATGGGGCAGGAGAAGATTGTGACAGCAAATATTTTTTATATCCATGTAATGATACATCTTCCTGTAAGTAGAGAAATGCACTATTATTCTCTAGAAGTGAAACCTCAGTGAGGTCACTTAAAAAAAACAAAATTATTAATTTAATAGGAATGGAAGTATTTTAATTGACCATAAATAGTGTCAGGAATTTTACTATTCTTATTCAAACCTCTTCTATTCTATAGGTTTCAAAAAATTTTAAGAGTATTTACTCTTCATTTCCTAAATTTAATAATTACTAAGTCTTTTCTATGAATGTGGAGGTGGTGATGGTGCCAGCCACAAGCTAAATCTGGTCATGCTTCAAGTCTAAAGGACAATTACACTTAACCTTCTGGGGAAGCCTGCGCTATAATTATTTAAAAACCAACGTATTCAGACTCTGAATTCTTACTTTTTTATAATTTCTCTACAATTATTCTTAGAAAATAATGATCATTCTTATTTTGAAGAAAAAATATTCCAAAGATGTCTACTTTTCATCAAAATATTGTGGTTTGGAAGACTGAGGGCAGAATTGAGAAACGAGGCCATCTCACAATTAATAGTGAAGAATCAAAATATTCCCATCTAATATAGTTTTCTACCTATCAAACTATATTACATTCTGAATCAGAATAAAATACCTAAACAAAAACCCCTTTTAAAATATATATTTCAATTTCTTTAATTTGTGTGTATATGTATAAATACACGTATTTTCATATATACATATATTTAATACACATAAATTTTGTAACAGTAATTCTTAAATTCATAATTTAGTTAAATATACTAATTAGTCAATTAATTATCAAATCAATTTACCTGCCTCAATCTTCTGGTATAAATAATACAGTTACTGCTTCCACGATGTGGGTATAAATGTACAAAATATCTAAAAATCAATTTCTCTTTCAAGTAGTCTCTCATTTTTCTGAGCCTATTTTCCCATCATTATAATGAAAAAGTTGAACGAAATGAGGGGTTGAACTAGAGTTATCTCTAAGGAATATCCAGAATTGAAGTCTAACAAAAGCAATTCCAACATATTTTTAAAAGGATAAGTACAATGTTTCAGTTAACTTGCATATGTGAAATATAACAATATTTTCTTATTCTAATGTTTACAGATTTATCAATCTGAATTTGCATCACTACCCATTACCTAGAAATTCTTCAATCACGTATAATTATAAATATATAAGTTTTATACCTTTACTGTTCCAAATAATTCATCTTTAATGTGGCCACCTCCAAATTCCTTTTTCACAGTTGCTCTTGTTGCTGCATACAACATTTTTTGACGAACCTAGTAAGGTGTGAAAGTTTGCTTAAAAGTTTATAGATACGAACTATCATTACAAAAGAAAGCACTTTCTGAATGTACTAAAGTCTTCATACACATTAAAAAGAAACTGTAATAAAGCTGAAATCCACTGACTCTAATAATGCTAAAGCATATGTTTAAAAATAACCATCATAACACCAGTATCTAAACTATCAATGGCTATTTAGGTTTCAATTTACTTCAATTTATGTCATATTTTTCAAAAAGTAGAAAAATTCTAAATATCAAAAAAATTACTCATTTTTCAAAGTATAAAATGAGTTCAAGAATAAAAAACTACTTAAAACACTATTTTAAAACGAGGAAGAAAACACTGAAATTTTCTCGATACTAACATTTTACTAAAAGCAAATCTAGATTAGATATCACTAAGTGTTTAAAAATCAAATATTCAAAGCAAACCTATGGCATCTATCATTGTAAGGACACACAAATGAAAAGAACTACAATATACACTACTATTAAAGACTCTAGTAGCATCTACAGAAATCTACTAAAGATAACTGCCAACTAATAGAAATAATTCCATAATCCTATGAGGTCAAATCCAGTATTCTTTTCAGATAAGATATATGAAATTAGGAAGAGATGACTTTTGAGACTGATATCTAGGTAACTTTACAAGTTATTATTTTTTTTACAAGAAACAAAAGAATTACTCTTTAAATACTGGGCAGTATTCACATATTAATTTTGTCTTTTGTTCTATTTAGTCAACCTATTAACTAACTTTATTTTTTTAAAAAAGATGTGTGTATCACTTGAATGGCAGCTATTAAGACTATTTAATGTAGTTCAATTAGTTCTCAGGATTAATACAATTATTACTCTCAGACCAAAGTAGTTAGCTTTATGCTTTAGAGGTCCATAGTTGTAATTGCCACAGATTTTAAAATTTCAAATCAATAATAATTCCACTGATTACAAGGGCAAGCCTGTTGAATCTAAGCACATTATTCCTAATTCCACATTACCCAACCAAGGATTTTCTCCATGATCATTCCCTTCTATGGTAAATGATAGTTGTTTATTAACTTTCTCTCTGCCTGGGAATATTTCAGAAGAAACTTTCCTGGTATTTAATGTTAAACAAGTTAGAAAAAAATTACTTACATGAGAATGATCTGGAGACCATGCAATGAATATCCATTCATACCCCTGGGCATTCTGAGAATCTAACCTGAATAATATATAGCATGGTTGTTTGTCCTCCAACAAGGGTAAAACAAAGGAATCATAATCCTTATCCCAGGAATCTGAAGGCTGACTACATGATCCAATCACAAGTTTCTCTACGAAGAACAATTTTTAAAAGATACATGAATGGTATAAAATACCAAATAGTAGAGTAATGAAGAATATATTAATAGTTATTTCCTAATTACAATTATTTGAAAGAAAAAAAGTTGAAAGAAAAAAAGTTGCAACACAAAAAACAATTATGATATAAAGTAGTATTAAAAATAGCTACAACAATTTTATGACTAGCACGGTTAATAAAATGTTACATATAAAACAAAAGAACAGATAAAAATGACCATAAATAGTTGAGTTGGATAGTTGAAGAACAGCTGATTATATTCTATTTTCTAAAATGCTTATGCTATAAGTTATCAACAGAATATGTTTAAATAAGTATACTACCACTCAAAGGATAATTTCTGAAATTAACATGAACTGTACACTAAGAAATATTAAATAAAATCAGGTTTAGCTCCTATTTGGTCATAATGCTACAAATTAAAAAATTTGTCCCTAAGTGTAATTTGGTACAGCCACTGTGAGGCATAATTTTGCAGAATCAAGTAAAACCGTGAATGTATTCTGCATAGAGAATCTCTCGCTCATATAGACAAAAGTGTTCAGTGCAACACTATATAATAGCAGAAAATGAAAATAGCCTAAGTGTTATCAAGAGAACGAACATATAACATGTGGCACAGTCAGATGATAAAATTCTATTAATATTTAATAGCAATTATTAAGAGGATATGGAAGAATGTTATATTATTCTTTGTAATTTCCTAATTTAAAAAAAATTTTCTCAAAACAAAAATAAAGTCAGAAAATAATGATTTAGGAAATAGTGTAATTTTCCTTCTGTAGAGACTCTAGTTAAAACTTGCCCATTTTATTTAATTAGTCAGGAAGTGATGGCATTTAAAATTTTAGCTCAATATTTCTAAAACATGCTGCTTTACAGTTTATGTTTATTCCTGTTGAGTGTGGTAATATACGTAAAACAAGTGCATATTTTTCAAACTATTCTGGTGCTTCTAATATATATGTAGAAAATGGAAACAAATTATATTTACTTCCGGTTTATGAAAACAAGTTATTTTTCCAAAGCAAAAAAATTTCAAGGTATTTAAGAAATTAGGCCAATGGAATATTTTAACATGTTCATTTGTGATTAAGTACTTACAATACTAATTGTTCGAATTCAAATCTAATGGAATTAAAAGATTCTCCTACCCAACCAATTTTCTCCTGCTTACAGAATTATTTTGAAAGAATAAATTTATACTTTGTTGCATTCTCAATAACTTTTTCCCAAAAGAAGAATCATTTCTACAGTACAGACTGCAATCAAGTAGAGAAAATGGGAGAGTTTGAAATCCTTTGTTTCTACTTCAGAATTAACCTTACTGAATAACAATTCATAAATAATTTTTTTTTTTTTTGATAACCACCTGTTTACTGATTTCCATTCCAGAGATGCAAGTACTGACATTAGAAATGAACTGTGGTGCAGACACTGGGACAAAAGGTAAAAGAGGAAGATGTCATACCAAAAAACATCTTTCTCTTTCCCCACAGTCAGCTTTAGAATTCAGAAGCTAAGCAGAGTCCCATGAGACAGGTCCAAAATGTACAGGATCCAAGTAACATAAAAGCAAGCTTTGAACTTGCTTCACATTAAGAGTTCAAATCAGTGACAACAACTTAAAAGTTTAAAAATATAACATCCAATAATCCAAGGACAAGCAATATTTTAAAACTAACCATTTTCAATAGATATTTTCAAAAGTCTGTATTTTCCATTTCTTGCTCTTGCAAAGATATCTTTAACATCTTCACTTGCTGTGGAAAAAGACAAAGAAACATAAACCTATTTTTTATACTTACGTATTAATACTCTCTCCTGCTACTTAAGTGAGGACATAATTATAATACAAAGGAAAATATCTTGAGTATGTAACATCCTTTTATAAGTAATTTAAATTATAAAACTTAAAGGTAATACATAGTGGTCACTGTACACATAAGAAACATTAAGTATATTTAAAAACTATACTAATTCTAATCTGTTTTAGCTAATTTCATAGCAGAAATAACACTGGGAGTGAATATATCAAAGTTACTCAAACCCAATAATTAACAAATTACGATTTTGAAAACACCTTTATTGCTTGTTTGAAAATGATAAAAACCTGCTTCCATTCTATCCAACCCAATTTCAGGCTTATGATAAAAACACCATCATTTTCTACATTTTCCCATTAAAACAGTAAATATCAGATATTCTATCCTGATTGAAGAAAAAGGCAATAAAATGCATACAAGCTTTTATCTCTGGTGACATTTTTCTAGCTTGTATTTCTCAAAAAGCTGAAGCAAGCTCACTGAACAAATATATATCTAATAACCTTATACCTGTGTTCATATTAAAGCTTCAATTTCGTCCCAATTCTGTGCTTGGGGTGCATATTGACAGTAAGAACCACTATTTAAGGAGTGGTTGTAATAAGGCTAGGGTATGAAAGTCAGTAATTACATATTTAAATGTCAAAACTAACGGGGACAAATAAAACACTTTTAGATTTGAGACTATTCTGCTGTTTGTGTGTTCAGGGGCAGTGTAAAGTAATGTCAAAGACCATTAAAGAACAAAACACAATGAAGTGTTCATCTAGGGAAAAGATTCGCTGCCTATAAACAGGAAGAGCTTGCGTTTATATTAGAACTCCTTAAGTAATCGCGAGCAACCTCGGGATATATTATTTGTGATGAGGTGAGCGTTTCCAGACTGCTCATTTTCAAACAAGGAAATGATGGACGTGAGATATAACTGCACATTCAACTGCCTTCATGGGATGATTAAAAGCAGCCACAAAGAACAGACTTTTCAGTTTCCTGGAGGAGTACCTATCATCAAAACACCCCATACTCAGGATTTCTCAGAATATAGTTCACGTTCCCATTTTGGAAGAAAATGCGGAAGAGTTTGGGAAGCACCCTTATACTGGAAACCAAAAACATTCCATCACCTTTCCTTTTATAATCAACATCCTACAACAATCTCCTTTGGACCATAAAAAGGAAAATTCTCCCGTCTCTCGACAGCAAAAGAAGCCCCAGTCGCCGTATCTACCTTTTCAGGTCTTCTCTACCTGATAAAAAGGGGAAAGTTGGAGTAATGTCGGGGGCGGTAGAAGGCACGCCCCCTTCACGCGGGACGCCTGAAAAACAAACTTCCTTCGCTCCTGCGAATTTCGGGTCCGTCTGCAACGTGGCGGCGGCCGGGTCTGGTAGGGACGCAGGCCAGGAGCGCCCGGGACACGAAAGCGCAGAGGGGCGCTGAGGCCCGGCCACCCCGCGAGACCGACTCCCCGCGCTCCTGGCCCGACTCTGACCCTGCCCTGTCCGCAGCCCGCCCGGCTCGCCCGAGGCCTCCCCGGAGCCCGTTTTCCGCGGGCCGCGCCGGGCGCCGTTACCTTGGATGCCGGTCTGGTGGGACATGGCGGCGGCCGCGGGCTCCCGGCTCCGAAGCTGAGTGCAGCAGCGAGCGGCCCCGGCCGGCGACTCCAGGAAGTGGCGGCTCCTCCGGCGGCTCCGGCGCGTCATCAGCCTGCGACCAGCGGTCGCCCCGCCCCGCGAGGCCTACGGCGTCCTCGCGCGCCGGAGCTGCCTTCGCCACCCGCGCGGTATTTGGTTGGCGGTGGTCCACGTCCAGGGTCCTCCGTCCTCACCTCCAGTTCTCTGCTCCGGGTCCCTGCCCTCGGCGCTTGTCGCCATTTCTCCCCCTCCACCGTGGTGAAACAGGATGGCATTGCTACCAGCGCCTCTGCAGACACCGCCGTTCACTGGTTAAGCAAAAAGATGCTCAAAAACGGAAATGACCATTTTACTAAACGTACATTTTCAGCTTTAAAAAGATGTGCACAATATACTTCTTGGTTTACTCTTCCTGTGATCTATACAATTAATGTAAAAGGTCACTTCCCGCCCTATTTTAAAAAATGAGTATACGATAGGCAGTCTCCCATCAAAAATTTCTCACGCTTTTAAATTAATCTCCGACTGTTAACTTTTCTTTTTTCAGTTAGGCGCATTTAGAGACCAAGTTTTCCTTTCTCTTCATTCCAAGAAGAGACAGACACTGAGAGCAAGAATAGCTGACCGGAATACTCCTCTGTGGTCAATTCCACCATTGCAAACTATAATACTGCTCTGCTTTAGATTGGCCCGTTTATTGTTTAAGTAATTATAAGTGATTTACTTAATTTTTCAAGGCAACAGAAGATTATTATTTAAAATTGTTTCTGTTTTTTGGACACATAGTTCCCTTTTATGGACTTGTAGTTCCCTTTTTAAGAGTAATTTCAGTAGTTGGTTTTTTGTTTTTGTTTTTTTTTTTACTTCTTTTTTTCCACTCCTAGATTATATTTTTCTAGGTAGAAAGCTGAGACTTTTGTTTCTAGAGCCAGCCTTGAACTGACAAATATACAAAATTACAGTCTTCTTCAAACATCCTCATATTCCAAAATAAGCAAAATTTAATCTGAGTTTTATAACGTTTGGATTTAAGAAATCTAGAGAGGAGTTTCAGTCTAACCAAATTCTTTCTGACACAACGGTTCACCTTGATTTTCTAGTTTTGATTGCATTGTTGAGCAGAGAAAATTGTAGAGTTCGTCTGCACTTTTTTGACTGATTCATGTCCTGCTGACTAGGGAAGTTGGCATTGCTCAAAAGTACTGACGAGAAAAACATAACTCCCATATTTGTGCTTAAAAAGGACCACTGTATGCTCAGTCTTGACAAAAGGAAAAGTTCAGTTTGTTTGGGTGGGCTCACCCGGGCATCCTCTGTAAAGTGCTTATTTTCTTCCAGTACAATAATTGGACTTTTAAAAGCTGCGTAGATCTTGGGTGCATTGTTTTTGAAATGGCAAAAGTTCCTCTGAGCAAAAGAGGGAATCTGAGAAGGGGAAAATATTTGCTAAGCTATAAAGAGCATGGCCAAAATGATTTTTTTTTTTACTGCCCATCAGCATTTCTACATAGATTTAAATAATTTCCTCTATTTTACTATATTCTGTGTATGCATAAAAAAATGGATTCTTGATGCTTTCATAGGATGTTTTAAGAAAATATTTATGGTTAATATTGACAATACACTTAAATGTCACTGATTTATTATGTATGATGTTAACTTCAGATCGAGTTAAAGTTTGGCATTGTATTAACTTGGGAATAAAGATTTATTGAATATATAGAGTGCTAGTGATGCACATATTTTAGCTATTTAAGAGAACAAATTATAGTAGAAATCTTGCCCTTTTATTCTCTTTCTTACATCTTAAATTTGATACCAATCATATGACTTCCCTTAACTTCTTTTAAAAAGTGATAAAATACACATAACTTAAAAGATAATGGTTATTATCTTAACCATTTTTAAGTGTACAATTCAGTTGTGTTGAATATATTCACCTTTTTGTGCAACTAAACTCCAAAACTCTTTTCATCTTGCAAAATTAGAACTCTATATCTATTAAATAGCTTACACTTACTTACACCCAACCCAAATCCCCTGGCAAACAACATTCTTTCTACTGTCTGGCTCTGTGACTCTGACTACTCTCAGTACCTCATATAAGTGGAATCATACACTATTTGTCTTTTGTGACTGTTTTGTTTCACCTAGCATAATTTCCTCAAAGTTCACCCATTTTGTAGCATGTGTCAGAATTTCCTTTCTTCTTAAGGCTCAATAATATTCCATTGTATGTATATACCACATTTTGTTTATCTGTTCATTTATCAATGAACACCTTCACTTTCACCTTGTGGTTATTATGAATAATACCGCTATGAACGTGGGTATACAAATAATTTGTTCGAGTCCCTGTTTTCAATTCTTTGGGGGCATATATCCAGAAGTGGAATTGCTAGGTGGTATGGTAATTTTCTTTTTAATGTTTTTGAGGAAAGACCATACTCTTTTCCATAGTGGCCACACCATTTTACATTTCTACCAACAGTGCAGGAGGGTTTCGGTTTCTCTCCCTCCTCATCCATACTTGTTATTCTCTGGTTTACTTTTTGGTTTGTGTTTATAGTAGCCATCCTAAGGGGAGTGATGTGGTAGCTCATTGTGGTTTTAATTTACATTTCCCTAATGATTAGTGATGTTGAGTATCTTTTCATATATTTTTGGCCATTTGTATATCTTTGGAGAAATATCTATTCAAGTCCTTTGCCCATTTTTAAATTGAGTTGTTTGATTTTTTTTTTTTTTGATGTTGAGTTGTAGGAATCTTTATATATTCTGAATGTTGGCCCCCTATCAGATATATGATTTGCAAATATTTCTCCAATTCTTTCGATTTTTTTCCATTCTGTTGATGGTGTCCTTTGGTGCACAGAAGTTTATAATTTTAATGTAGTCCGGCATATCTTTTTTATTTTTTGTTGCTTTTCTCCTTATCTTTAGAGTATGCTCCTAATCTTCTGCATATCTTCTAGTTTTTCTTCCATAAATTACTACTAAATAGCTTATAAATATCATCTATACTTTCTGTCTATATACTTTCTCACCTCTCACTCTGTAAATCCATGGTTCCCAAACTGTGTGGGAGGTGCCCCAGATATAGTGAACATCTGAACTGCCTAGGGGATGTTGCAAACAGATACTTGATGTCTTTTTGACATCACACAAAATATTAGCTTGAGGTAGAAACAGTTTACTGTTTCAACACTAGATCGCTCTACATTCTTTTCCATAATGTCATATCTTGACAGAGCTAGGTTTTCAGTGGTTGCTGTGATAAAAGCAACTATGGGACAAAAAAATCAATGTGGAACAGGAAATGACAGTGGCTGATGTCAATCTAATTCTAAAGTTTAAAAGTCACGTAGTATGTAACAGGCGCATGAATCCCATTAGTATATAATTGTGATTATTTTAAAATAAAGTCAAATATTATTTTTCCTTGAATTTATATGTATTACTTTTTCAAACAGCTACTAAGTTGCTAGTACATAAATACTGATTAGGTTGTTTGGAACTGACTACTTAATAAACTGAACCGGTGAGTATTTCTTTTGACATAGGAACATTACGAAAAAATTATTGAGCTATAAAAGGCTCCATAAGCTGAGAAAGTTCGGAAACCTCAGCCTTACAACCTTTGCATATGGTTTTCTCTACACCACTCTATTGAAACTATTTTCTTGAATGTGACTAGTGTCTTCCTTTTTAATAGCAAAATCAACTATATTTATTCTCGAATGTTTTATCAGTTTTCTATGGCTGCTGTAACAAATTAGCACAAAGTGGGTGGCTTAAAACAACAGAAATTTATTCTCTCACAGTTCTAGATATCAGTCCAAAATCAAGGCATCAGTCCAGCTGCCATTCCTCTGGAGGCTCTAGGGAAGTCTCTTTCCTTGCCTCTTCCATAATACTAGTTGTTTTCTTAAAATATGACTGTTAACTGCTGTCTTCTTTAACATTTCCTTAGAATTATAGATCAGCAAATAACAAAATAACTCATAAAAAATGAGAGTGAAGCATTAGATAACTTTTTATATGCATGTAATTGTAACTCTCGACAATCTGTAATAAACACCTGGCAAAATTGCTAAAAACGTTTCACACAATAGAATATATTACAGAAGATTCTTTCATTCCTGTCAGGCTCTGTGGTGCTTGAATGAGTCATGGAGAACACAGAACAATGAGTTCAGATTAAAGATCAGTTCAAGCAAATAATCTCTCTTTATTACTCTCCCCTGAGTGAAATCTGGGCTGAAGCAATCTTAACAAGTGATACATACTTTCTAATGAAAGAAACAGAGAACACTGGTTCAAAAGAGTTGTTGATAATGATAAGGATGCATATTAGAATTAACGTGCAGGAAAGTACAAAGCAAACAGCTTTTTAATGTATTATTTATAGCAGAATTTTCACCCTGCTTTAGAGAAGTGCCTTAGCAACAGCATCATGAAATTCATTCTCATAATCTCTAATGTCTTTCAAGTGGGTAGGATGGTTAAAATGACTAATGGGAATATTTGCAAACCACTTTGAAAATATAGTGTTCTCTCTCTTTCCCCATTTCTCTGTCTTTTCTAGAGATATCAATTAATACCTAAAAAATATTCCTCTAACGTTTAATTAGCGTGCACAGAAAATCCCCTCTAATACTGAGTCCACAATAGGGGATAATCTTCTATGTCCTTTAAGTATTTTTTTAGTCACAACAGAGGCAACTCCAGTGTTTCCATGTTAGAGAAATTTAGGGCTGGAATCTGCAATCTGGTTCAAAATCAGTGCAAGGGGGACTGTGAAACTGAGCCTATATTGCAGGAGGTTTCGTGAGTGCACATGTGTGCATGTGTGAGAGAGAAAGGGAGAGAGGGAGAGAAATTTGAGAAAACCATTTATATCAAATAATCGGGGATGGACTGGAGTTGATCGAGATTTGGGGAGCATTAAAGCCCCATTCACCTCTATTCTAAACTACCCTTTGAAGATGCCTGAAAACTGTAGTCTCAAGGTTGGGATCCAAATTGGATTAACCTTTTACTAAGTACTGCTCCATAATAAAGACTTTAGACCGAACCTTCA